GAGGCAGTACGGACAAGCACACTGCTGCAGATACCCAGGGCAACGCTCCCTTCATGCTTTGCATGGGGATGGGGGCAGTCCTGTGCCAGGAGATTGAGTGAGAGGAGCGAGTGGTAGCATTTGCCTGCCGCAACTGCAGCCCCACCGAGGCAAATTACTGCTTGTATGAAGGCGAGGGGTTGGCAGCTGTATGAGGCATCAACCATTTCAGGGTCTACATGCGGGGGCGTAGGTTTGTGCTGGTAACCGACCATCAGCCCTTGATGTGGTTGATGACGAATCAGGAAATGACAGGACAGAATGCCCGCTGGGCGATCAAGCTGCTGGGATGCGGCTTTAAAATTCGCCACCGCCCGGGCAAGACCCTCTTGCATCCTGACGGTCTGTCTAGGAACCCTCACCTGTGCAGCTTGTGGCACAGCTGGTAGCCGTAGCATAGGTACTAGTAGCTGGCTGGGGGCAAGAGAAAGTGGAAAAGAGGCAGCTAGATGTCTGGGAGGATACCGAGACTCTAAAGTGGATTAAGGGAGGGAGCATGAAGGGCGAGGAGGCCAGTGAAAGGGCAAGGGCCAGGAGGCAGCATTACCGTTGGTACCAAGAGCAGCTACAGCTTCACACCAGTGAGGGATGGAAGATAGTGCCACGGAAGAAGGACAGGGAAAGGATCATGCGGCGGGTGCATGGGAAGCTGGGGCATTACGGAACGGCACGCACCAATCAACTGCTTAGCACAATGTACTGGAGGGCGGGGATAAGGAGGGACGACAAGGAGCTGGTAGATGAGTGTGTAGCCTACAGGCGTAACAAAGCAGCACTGGAGAAGGCAAGGAAGGAGCTGCAGTCACTGCCGATTCGGGGACTGGGCTACCGCTTGTCGCCAGATTTGGCAGGGGAATTATCTTTGTCCAAGAAAGGCAAGCAATACATACTCGTGATGGTGGAGCACACTAGTAAGTGGGTAGAGGCCAGGGCACTGCCGAGCAAGAACAGTGGGCTGATTGAAGAGGCGTTCGTGGAGCAAGTTATCACCAGGTTTGGGACGTGCGGGGAGGTGTTAACTGACCAGGGTACCGAATTCAAGGGCTGCTTTGAAGAGACTTTGCAGAAGTTGCAGATCACTTACCGAGTGACATCAAGGTATCACCCGTAGTCGGATGTGTTGTGTGATGCAATCATATGCATTCACGTCTGTCTGCCTCCCATCATATGTTCGTGCGTTGCATGCGTGGTGTGAGCGTGTGCAAGAATTTGTGTTTTGTGTGGTTTGAATTTTCTGAGTGTGTGCAAATGTTATTTGGCTTGAGCAGATATCTGAACTGACTCCTCTGCTCAAGAGCTTTCCGACGAACCAAGTATCGCTTCAATCGGAGCACGAACAAGAAAGTTACGAACGTTGGAGTTCGTATGCTCTTCATATTTGGTTGTGGTGACTATGGGAAGTTGTGGGGTTGACTCCATAAGGGGTACAGACTTTTGGGGGTTGGGAAATTCGTCAACATTACTGTAGATGCTGCCAAGTGGTTGGGAGAAACCAAACCAGGTTGGCAAGTGTGGCCAAGTTGGGTTAAGGTGGATGGCATGGGTTGGGAAAGTGACAAAAGTGAAAGTGGGGTTGCCTATGGAGAGGGGAATTGTGTGGCATGGGGTTTCCTTGGTTGGGGACTGTCTTGGGACCTTCCCTCTCGTCCTCCTCATCCCATCCCACATGGTTTATTGCTACTCTAACTCTCTTGTGTAGTAATTGTGAACTTGTGTGAGACTCTTGTGATTGAGTTAAGATTCTATGGCAGCATACCCCCTAGTGCGCCGAAATTGATAGCTCAAGAAATACTTCATCTTTTCATATGATTCAACTTGGGAATTGTAGCCATAAATTAGAGCTACAACATATCTAAGTTTGGTGAAGTTTTGACCGTGAACTTTTCGTCGACGGCGTTTCTTGTGAGCGCGACTTTTCTGTCCAGAATTCTAAGCCAACGATTTTGAGAATTTTAGGCACCTAATCTTCATAGACTCCGTCCTTAGTCTGTAACAGGATGGGTTAACGGAGCAGCTGATTCAGACGTTGAAGAGAGGGCTGCGGGTCTACGGGGAGATGAAAAAAAGAGGATGGGACCAGGAGCTATACTGGATCCTTGCGGGTTATCGCTTTGCCAAGCAAGCGGCATTGAAGGACATGTCGCCCTACCATCTACTGTACGGGAGGCACCCCATTCTACCCATAGATGCACCAAAGTTGTTGAGTGCGACGGTAGATGCAGATGAGCCACACCTGTGGGCTGAGCTGGCTAGGAAGAGGGCGGCCTACCTGAAGGAACTGACGGAGGTAGCGCTCGACAACCTCCACGTGGCGCAGCTGAGGGACGCAAGACGTTACCAACAGAGGAAGGCAGTAGAGGATGGAAGCAGGCGTAAGGGAGTGGAGACTGGGGAGGAAGTGTACCTGAGGCAGCCTAAGCGAGATACGCTGGAAGTGCAAGTCGAAAAAAAACGGTGGAAGGTGAAGGAGATGAGGCAGTCCGGGGTGCTGGTGCTAGAGGATGAGCGAGGAAGGCGCATCAAGGAGCATGTCACCAATGTGGCCGGGGCTGGAAAAGGGAAGGGTCAGGCTGTGGGTCCCGAAGCCAGAGTTGCCAGTGCTGGAACTCAGGCACGGGAGGGGGTAGTGCAGCCTGAGAAGCAGGGGGAAAGCAGGAGCGGCATCATCACATACACCAGGAGGAAGAAGAGGCAGACAGACGGCACTGGGGCACGCAAGCAGGCATGAGAGGATGAGGGTGAGAGAAGAAGTGGAGGCACCGGAGAGAAGGGAGTGAGGGAGTGGGTTGGAATCACGACAATTCCCAATGTAGAGTCCTCCCTTTCCGTGATACAGCTTGAACTCCTGAGTGGTGCTGTCTGCTTCGAGGTGGATCTTTTTCGCCATCAGCTAGCTGACGCTGAGTAAGTTGTGGCCGAGTCCCTCCGCGATTAAAACTTTTGACATTTGCATTATGACATTGGTCTCTCTTGACTGAAGTTGAACGATACCTTGTCGTCGTGTGCGCAGGTTCTGATTGTTGGGGACGGTGTTGACGACTTTACGCTGAAGCTGGTGTTCCTTCTGAACGAAGGCTTCTTCAGATATCAATCCTCCACATCGAAGGAGTTTGTCGCGCAAATCGTGACAGCGGCTGATATACGCCATCCCCTTTTTGCCCGATTTCATTTCCACTATTGTCAGCTGTGCCATTAACCGACTGTGATTGACGCTGTCTGCTGCTTGATACAATTTTTTCACATGGTTGCACGCAAGCTCGGCGGAGTTGCCGTATCCCCGATAAGACCGGATGTTCTGCTGCTGGTTTGGAGTTATGTTCCTCAGCAGGATCGTGTATGCCATCATTGACTGATATATGTACTGCTGCTTGTCGTATTGCGTTCCGTGTGTTGCGTATGGCAGGGACCCGTAGAAGAATCCAAGAACCTGCATGCCTTTCATCATCAGCTCAAACTCGAATGACCAGGTATAGAAATCCTTCCCGTCGAAAGGTGTTGATGTATGAAGTTTCAAAACGTGCGCGAACTGTGATTGAACCTGAAGTGCTTCCAATGTTTTCTCCTGTCCATGTTGAGGCTGCTGGTGCGGCATGAAGCTGATCGAGCCACGTTGAGGCTCATACGGAGCGAAGGTGGGTTGGTGCTGGTTTCCGCGCGCATAGGATGAACCGTCGAGGTTCATAGGCGTAGCGTCGTTGTTGTTGAAGCTGATGTTTGACTGCGCAGGTGCCGCTTGCTGATGTTGTTCGTAGAAGGACATGAAGGAGAAGAATTTCCCCATCATGCTTGGGTCGAAGCCTGTCGCTTGGTTCGCGGGAGTATCAGTAGACTCAGTTGCTGGTCTTGCTGTACCTCCCTTTGTCTGTAGGCCAGAGGCTGGAGGTAGAGTAGGAGTAGTGCCGAGAGAGCCGTTAGAGGAGCTTCTCTCCTTCTGTTTTGCCATGCCTTCTGATGTTGTAGGAGTTGAAACGAAGCGGAATTTTGCCGTGTTTGCTCTCATACCATGTTGGGCAAAGAAAAGCCCTTAGGATCTTATACACGACTTAACTCTAAGTCGGAATGTTGTAGTTTGCGGAAGCGTTTTAATGATGAGTCTTGAACCACCTTGCACTAGTAGGTGAGGGCAAGATAGATTAATTATAAGAAAGTAATGCAAGCTTTTATAAGATTACAAGGAATATGAAAGGGTACAGCTAATAACTGTTTTACTGTTGCTGTTGCGGTTCGATACAGTGACGACACGGGCAACTGCTCAGTATCGAGTCAGTTGTTTGTCCTTGCTGTCGCGCTGTATTTGTCAGGTCAAAGCTCGCTGACCTTTGACTTTCGCGTAACCTCCAGCAGTTACTTTTCTTAACCTCCGATGGTTGACTCGCCGATACTTCGTTGTGCTTCGCTTTGTTTACGACTTAGTGTTTCGACACAACAAAAGCGCTTAAATCACTTCATCCATGAACAATATTTAATCAGAGTACTTCAAGCTCACACAGAGGCATGAAATGCTTGTCTGGAGCTGCATTGAATGCGTTTAAAAAGACACCAATATCAAGAGGAAAAAAAGACACCAATATTGAATTGCCTTTTCTTAGTTTATTCTTTTTATATTTCACCAATATTGATGCAGAAAACATGTCCTGAATGGTCATGTGAAAAATCGCGTGACACAATAGTGTTTGAATAACCAAAAGGTGACACATTAATGTAAAGGATGAGTACTACTACTCCCGCCCTGAACTGTTTCCAACAATTTTAAGACTACTTATGGCCATCGTTTCTAAACAATGTCTAGGTCTTCTTTCTTTCCCTTCACAGTTGCCATCCCCATGACTTCATCTCTTCCATACTTCACAACATCCTGGTTCCACACGATCCAATGTACCCACGGAGAGCAACAGCAGGTGCTCTGAGCCATACACTGGAAGACAACTCCACGCGCATCCTTCCACCCCACACCTCGCCGCTCAACCCCTGTGCCTTGCAGCCTCACGCCCACCACTGGAGCTGCTGGAGGGGCCGGAGGGGCTGCCACCTGAGCGCCTCTCAGTGCCTTTGCCCTGAGAAGAGCGCCTTTGAGGGGAGCGGGAGTGCGGGGAGCGGGAGTGCGGGGAGCAGGAGTGCGGGGAGCGGGTGCGAGGGACGCGGCGCCCCGGTGAGCGCCGCTCACGTGACCTCCTCCTTCCCTCACCTCCCTTTTCCCTGCCCTCACCTCCCTTTTCCCTGCCCTCACCTCCCTTCTCCCTGCCCTCACCTCCCTTCTCCCTGCCCTCACCTCCCTTCTCCCTGCCCTCACCTCCCTTCTCCCTGCCCTCACCTCCCTTCTCCCTGCCCTCACCTCCCTTCTCCCTGCCTTCACCTCCCTTCTCCCTGCCCTCACCTCCCTTCTCCCTGCCCTCACCTCCCTTCTCCCTGCCCTCACCTTCTTCCTCCCTGCCCTTGTCCCCCCTTGCCCGCCTCTCTCTCCTCACCTCTTCACCCCTCTCCTCCACACCTTCCTCCTCCTTTCCCTCATCCCCTTTATACTTGTCTCTCAACCCCTCCTCCCTTGCTCCACCCGTCCCACCACTCGCCTCCTCCGCATGCTGCTGCCGCACACCACTGCTCTCTCCTTCCAGCCCCTTCCCCTTCCCCTCCCCATCCACACCCTCCTCTTTCAGCAGCTCACCATCAGGCGCTGCTACCTTCTCTTCCTTCACCCGCACTTCACTAGTCCCTTCTTTCCTCTCGTCCCTCTCCTCTTCCTCATCCACAACTGAGTCCATCCGCTGATCATCAGAGTCAGACCCTGCACCCTTCTCTCCCTTGGTTGCCTTTACGCCTTCCACCACCTCACCTCCCCCCACCACCTCACCTCCCCCCCACCACCTCACCTCCCCCCACCACCTCACCTCCCTCCCCTCCGTCAACCCCCACTGCTTCTCCCCCCCCCCACTGCCTGCCCCTCCTCACCACCCTGGGGCAGCATGAGCCTATCAGCTTCTGCCAGGTGGCGCTGCAGCGAGTCCGCCACCAGTTGCTGCACCTTGCGCTCCTGGTTCTGCTGCCACTCCTCCAAGCTCTGCCACCACCCAGTGGGCAGGTGATGGGCGGGATGATGGGCGGGGTGATGGGCGGGCGGGGGGGAAGAAGGGAGATGAGTGGGGGAAAGGAGATGAGAGGCAGAAGGGAGGCAAGAACGAGTCCGCCACCAGCTGCTGCACCTCGCGCTCCTGCTGCTGCTGCCACTCCTCCAAGCTCTGCCGCCACCCCAGTGGCGGGGTGACGGGCGGGTGGGCGGGGAAAGGAAGGCCAGAGGGGCGAGGAGGGCAGGGGAAGAGGCGCACGTGGAGATGAGAGTGAGCTCTGTGGCTTGGTAAGGCCCACAGCAGCACAGCAATGAGGCAGCCAGGCAAAGAAGGGGAAGGGGGAGAGCAGAGCAGAAAGCAGGCATGACAAGGAGGCAGGAAGGGTTGCAAAACGTGCCCCGGGAGACGAGGTGCACACCGTGACGGAGCACTTGGAGGTATGCTACATAAAGTATGCAGTAAGAGGAGTCGCAAGCTAAACAAGGAAGATGCAGCAGATGAAATGCGTTCCAGAGCTTATGGGGCCAACACCAACACCAACAGAAGCAGCAGCAAGAGCAGCAGAGGAGCGGATAAATAACCTGGAATGTTAAACGAGTTCACTTGAACAAGAGATACGCCAGATGAAATCCCAAAATCATGATCGACAGGCGATTTTGAGTGCCGCTGCCGAGAACCTGGAGCAAGGTGACTTTTTAGTCGACTTCAAAAGTCGCTGTCGAGAACCTGGAGCACCCGCTGCTTTTTCTGCTCGTGGCTTGTTGCCATGCCACTGATCCCACTGCACCCTGCAGCATGCCACCATCTCACCTGCGCCTGTGCCTGCAGTAGCTTGTCAGTGGGTGGCGAGGGACGGGCCGGCAGATACATGATGGGTGGCGAGGCCTGTGTGCTGCCCATGAGGGCGAGGAAGCGATATGAGCGATGGAGTGGGCGGATAGGGGGGACATGGAGAATCGGGAGAGAAGTGGGGGAGGGGAATGAGTAGCGGAGTCCGAGAGGACAGAGAACAAAGAAAAAGACAGATGTGTGACTGCATGAAGTTAACGCCAGTCACACATCAGAACTGCATCCAGGGGAATACCGGCGTTAAGTGCATGCAGAGGGGGAGAGGGACAAAGTGTTGTTTTGAGACGTCTCAAAACAACACCTTTATCACGTTGACTGCATGCAGAGGGGGAGAGGGACAAAGTGTTGTTTTGAGACGTCTCAAAACAACACCTTTATCACGCTGACTGCATGCAGAGGGGGAGAGGGACAAAGTGTTGTTTTGAGACGTCTCAAAAACAACACCTTTATCACGTTGACTGCATGCAGAGGGGGAGAGGGACGAAGTGTTGTTTTGAGACGTCTCAAAACAACACCTTTATCACGTTGACTGCATGCAGAGGGGGAGAGGGACAAAGTGTTGTTTTGAGACGTCTCAAAACAACACCTTTATCACGTTGACTGCATGCAGAGGGGGAGAGGGACAAAGTGTTGTTTTGAGATGTCTCAAAACAACACCTTTATCACGTTGACTGCATGCAGAGGGGGAGAGGGACAAAGTGTTGTTTTGAGACGTCTCAAAACAACACCTTTATCACGTTGACTGCATGCAGAGGGGGAGAGGGACAAAGTGTTGTTTTGAGACGTCTCAAAACAACACCTTTATCACGTTGGCTGCATGCAGAGGGGGAGAGGGACAAAGTGTTGTTTTGAGACGTCTCAAAACAACACCTTTATCACGTTGGCTGCATGCAGAGGGGGAGAGGGACAAAGTGTTGTTTTGAGACGTCTCAAAACAACACCTTTATCACGTTGACTGCATCCAGAGGGGGAGAGGGAGAAAGTGTTGTTTTGAGACGTCTCAAAACAACACCTTTATCACGTTGACGCATGCAGAGGGGGAGAGGGACAAAGTGGAGAAAGGATGGAGGAGAGGCAGAGAGAGACAAAGCAGAGAGAGCAGAGAGGAGAAGTGGAGAGCGGAGGCAAGCAGAGGAAAAGCGAGTAACAATGCACGGTGATGAAGGTGCAAGAAAGGGCAACAGCACGCAGAACAGCTTGCGCATGTGGGTACAGCACCCAAGTGCTGTTCATGCTCCCACCACTCATCCTCGCCTCCCCTCCCACCCTTTATCCTTTCCTTCCACCCTTCCTCCTCACCCACCCATCCTTCCACCCTTCCTCCTCCCCACCCATCCTTCCTCCTCTCCTCACACCCACCTTCCCTTTGAAGCATCTCACCGGATGAAGTGCGAGAGCAGGGAGCGGTGGCGGTGCCAGTGGCGCGCCAGCAGGTGCACCTCCTTCTCCTCCGCCTTGGCCATCAGCCGCGCCCTCAGCACCTGACCATGTGCCGCCCGCAGGGGAGGGGAGCATGGGGATAGGCAAGGTGAGCGTGGGGGCAGGTGAGGTGACGTGACGTGAGGCGAGGAGCGGTGATGCAAGGTGGGCAGGTGAGGTGTTCGTGATGGGGTGGGTGGGCGTGGCATGGATGAGACATGCAGGAGACGAAGATACGAAGAGCGGTGGATGGCGTAAACAAGATACGAAGAGTGGTGGATGGCGTAAACAAGATACGAAGAGTGGTGGATGGCGTAAACAAGAGAGGAAGAGACAAAGAGACGCTGAGCATGCATCGTGGACGGTTGCTCTTCTGAGAGAAGTGGAATGACGGGCTATTGGGCCATGAAGTGATGAGCAAATGAAGAACCCAATACGCAGGGTCAAGAAGCATATGTGCAGAGAGGTGCAAGGGGTGCAGATGGGTGCAAGATGGGTGTGCGGATTGCATAGAGGTGCAGAGGGGTGCAGAGGGTTGCAGAGGGGTGCAGAGGGAAGCAAGGGCATGCAAGAGGCAAGTGTGGGTGCAGGGGGAAAGGGCGCACGAGGTCTCTCTTGCGCTGCTGCAGAATCCTCTCCCTCTCCTGCTCCTTCAGCCGCTCACTCTGCTCCGCCACTCGCTGCTCTGCCTGCTCACCCGGTCCACCCGTGGAACACAGTGCAGCACAGAGGGCAGCACAGAGGGCAGCACAGAGGGCAGCACAGAGGGCAGCACGGAGGGCAGCACAGAGAGCAGCACGGAGGGCAGCACAGAGAGCAGCATGGGAAGAGAAAAGTAACACACATGGCTACAAATGACTTCATCATCCTTTCCATCGCAACCCTTTCAGATCATCACTAACAGCAAACGTCAAGTGAGTAAGTGACATGCAATCTGTGGCATGCATTCAAGATTGTTCCGCTGCGCGCCCATCATCCCCATAACCCCCATCACCCCCATGACCCCCATCAACCCCATGACCCTCGTGCGGCGTGGCGGCCCACCTTCTGCTGAATCATCGCCCTCCGTGCCAGCAGCTCTGCATCCCTCTCCTCCTCCTCTCTCGCCCTCTGGGGGAAAACAGTGATAGGGAGAAAGGGGGCGGGTAAGCTGAGGTGAGGTAGGGGAACCTTGAAATGCACGGGACTATGGAGTGAGTGAGTGAGCAAGTGAGAGAGTGCGTGAGTGAGTGAGCGAGTGAGTGAGTGAATAAGGGAGCGCATGCAGCCTCTATCCAGAACCTCACTACCACTCTCATCCCATGTGTGCACCCATGGCACCACCTGTGAGAAACTCAAGTGTTAATTGTATTAAGGAAACGTTGGGCTTACATAGGAGAAAGAAAAGTGAGGGAACTGGGAGGTGAGCTCCCAGAATTATTGGTTGGCCAACAATGTTGGTTACCCAATAATGGTTGGGGCGAGCCACTTTATTGGCGGACCAATAATTGGTTGGCAAGGGTCACGAAGTGGCCCCCAACAATTGTGGCGTAGGGGGGGGGGGGGGGTGGGGCCCCAAACCAAAGTGGTTGGGGTGGTGCCCCAAACCAAAGTGGTTGGGGTGGTGCCCCTCGAAAAAAGTGTACACCCAGAATTGGGTGTAACACTGGCACAACCATAACATCATAGGCTATATTCTAACACCACCTTTCTCACCTGCAGCGTGCCTACTCCCCACGCCCACCTGCAGCGTGCCCACAAGCAGTGCTCCCAACATGTTGCGGTGGCGGCGCCGGGCCACGGGGTCCAGCTGCACCACTGGGCGCGGAGGGGCGGGCGCAGGCTCATGGGCGGACAGAGGAAGCGCGCCCGGGGAGGATAGGGGTGCGGAGGCATGTGCAGGCGGAGGGGGAGGGGCAGTGGGGTCTGCGGGCACGTCGTGAGCGGTGCGGCGTGGTTCGATTGGGTCGATGGGCTCCCCGTCCGGCCCCACCTGCATGCAGAGGGTGGCGCAGCAGAGGGTGGCGCAGCAGAGGGTGGCGCAGCAGAGGGTGGCGCAGCAGAGGGTGGCGCAGCAGAGGGTGGCGCAGCAGGGGGTGGCGCAGCAGAGGGTGGCGCAGCAGGGGGTGGCGCACAAGGGTGGCGCAGCAGGGGGTGGCGCAGCAGAGTATGTAGAGGGACAAGGATGGGTGGATGCACATGTGTGCGTGAGTGCGTGCACAGCAGGAGCATGTCGGACATGAGCGTTGCAAACCTGCTCCAATGCTCTCATGCCTGCCACTCCTGCCTGGCACACTGCTGCCATGCCAGCTTACTCTCGTGCCACACACACGTTTGTCACCTCCCCTTCCCTTCCCTTCTCCCTTCTTCCCCTCCTCCTCACGACCACTTCCTCCATACGCATCACTTCACCATCAACTCTCCTTCCCTCCGCTCATCACGCGCACTTCACCCCCCTCCCTCGATTCCCTTCTCTCCCATATCCCCCAGCCCCATTCCCCGTACCCGAGTGACTGCTGACATCAGCCGCCGTCTTTTGGTGCCCCCTGCCATGTCACCATCCGGCAACGCGGCATGGGACTGCAGTAAGGGGGGAGGGAAGGAGAAGCGGGAGAGGTGGGGAAGGGGGGGAGAGGCGATGAAGACGGGAAG